CATAGTAGTTCTCCTGTGCCTACACACACACTCACACAACCACTGCATCCCACTGATGAGCAGTTGTCCTTGCACTTGCCAGTAATACGCATGGCTCTTCTTTAGTGTAGGCAAACCAGATTCCATCTGCACATATTTGCAGTCAATAATGTTTTGTACACTGAGGCATTTCAGTTCAACAAGACAAGAAATATCTGTAAGCATCAGGAGATGCAGGGAGGCGAGGGCAGTGGGGTGAACGAATAGACCACAGAGTGAGTAGTTAACATTCCTTAGCCTACTATACTCAGCGGTTATTGTGGGCTTTATTTCGGCACTCTTCTCGTGTCTGCTTTCTACTTTATTCCTTTCATGATGCACTCTGCAAGTGAAGACCTCTGCCCTCTGACATGACACACCTCACAAAACCATCATAACGGAAAGGGCCAGTGCATAAAAGAGGACCAATGCAGATTCAGGCGGAGGCACAACAAATAGATTTTCAGCAAAGCTTTGTTTACAAACACAAGGTAAATACTTAAGTTCAGGAAACATGAGACGTGAAAGTCCAGCCTGAGAGATAAAGTGATCCAAGGTGAATGTGGCAAGAGGGTAAGCAGACGAAGAGAAACGGAAACAGAGCATGAGCCAGTGGTGTGAGATTCACAGGAGTGACCAGCGTCGACGCAAGTTAGGTTCTTGCCAGGTTGGAGCAATGGAGAAAATACAAGGAGACACAAGGTAGGCAAAACAGGAACTGAAAATGTGTTGGCCAAAATCCAAAATGGGTTAGAAGACAAACTGGCGAGGACTAGTTGTTAGCACTGGTCTTAAATACTGCCATCTCTGGTCAAGGCTACCAGCTCATAAGACAGAACACTTCCCTCCTGCACCCGGCCATCATTATGGTCACAAGTGGCGTGTCCTCAATATTACATTTTGTGTATGATTCTGTTATTCTGAACATGCAGAGATCTGGTAATGGATCCACTCCTGAAAAAAAAAGTTTATGATATTAATGTAAGGAACAAGGTTCTTATATTGAACAACAAAAATAAGAACAACTAAAAGAATAAAGTGTGAAACACAGGTGCATAAAATAAAAATTGCGATACACACCTATGTGACTCAGTCAGTTGCCTTCTCAATGTGTAATTTATGTAAATTATAAATTATTACCCATTCTGAACTTATAAAATCTTGCTTCTGATATATGTATACCAACATGCATTTCTTACATAGTAAACCAAATTTTACAAATCAAAGTAGAACATGCAATTAGAGAAATGGCATTGGGATTGTTGCTACTGGCAGATTCAGTCTGTAGCTTCACTAATGATGTGATGGCTCATCAGGTGTGCCTAGTAAAGTGGCAGTGGTCTTAAAATTGAGTTATGTTTGAGTTACCTAGTGATGAGGACTGATAAGAATTTAGTGACTCTGTGTTGGAGGTATTTCCACTCTTTGTTGTGATGGATTTTGGGGTCATTACCCAAAAAAGTAATTATTGCACATATTACATTGAACACTTTTCTCAAAAATAATGCAGCACAGTGCTTAATTACTCCCAGGAGAAAGTAATTCCTTATATTACTCATTAAATTACTTTAATGTGACGCCATAAAATGACCTAAAAGGCATTGTCTCATAATTTATCCCTGTACTTACGAGGCCACACATATGAGCTTTCTCTTGGTATTACACAAAGCCCACAGCACAAAGCAAAGACGAAAACTAGCATAAAGAGACTTAACAGTGATTGTTACAGTGATCGCTACTTTAGAAACATGAACAGGAAGAAACAGCCTGATTGATCATCCATTTGTTTTATGTTGAGAGTGAGTGTTCAGAGTGTGGCTGTTGGGCTGGGGGTGGCATTCACTCAGCTGTAATGCCACTCTTGATTATCTGCAACATGCTGTGTGTTGCAGGTGTTTTCCAAAGAGCTGAAGTTCAGTGGTTGTAATAATTTCTGTCATTCAAGGTTTGTATTCAAAATGCACTCACCGACGGGCAGGGCAGAGATAGATTTTGGTAGCCTGACTGGAAAAATCGCAAGCCCCAGGACGTCGGGACGTCTTTTGGAAAAGAGAGTTTATTACAGAGAAATGGCTCTTTCCAAAATAAAAGCTATACTATACGCTTCTTCTGGGCTATATTCTCAGCAGCATATTAAACATATTGTCATGGTCCTGGGCCATGTTGGCCCAGTGTTCTTAGTTTTCTTGTATGTTTGTATTTTGTTCCTTATTTAGGCCATGTTTTCTGAGTTGCCCTGTTGTGTTGTTCCCTAAGTGTTTTCCCTTCATGGCTTTTACCCCCTGTGTGCCCCTCTGTGTATCTGTGAGCCCTCATCTCCCCTCCTTGTTTCATTCCATGTTTCCCCAGCCCACTATGCCCGTGCTCTCTCTCTCCTCCTGTTTGCACCTGTGTACTTCCTGTTTTACTTTGACAGTCTCCCGTCAGTGTTGTTTACTCCTGCCATGTCTTGTTATGTTTATCTGTGTCAGCTGTGTTCCCATGTGTGGCCACTTCCCCTGATCATCCCTCTTGTGTATTTAGTCTCTGTGTTTCATGTAGTCTGTGTCGCGTCGTCTGTGTTACCACCTCCTGTGTTCTGTACCTCCAGCCATAGTCTTTCCTTAGTTTTGTCCAGTTTAGGTTTTCTGTTGAGTACTACACGTATGCTGCCCTCATTCTGTTTTTGTTCTTTTCATCAGCCATAATAAAAGGCTCGTTTTGTTGGAATCCACTCCTGCATCCTTGTTTGTGTTCGCACCTGGGTCCACCACACACCTTTCCGCACGGTCTGCCTCCGCAGACCTTGACACATATCAGGTCCCCATAAGGAGAATCATGTGCTAACAGCTGTCTAAATGACTCGGGTAAAGTTTGTAGCATGCGTGCTTGTTGTTTTTGTCTGCTTCCACTTGTCTTTGCACTAGGATGATATCAGCATAAATGTGCAGTCATATTCGTTGTGTTCCCACTAGTGCTGTCAGCGTTAATCTCATTAAAATGACGTTAATGCCATAACGCGGCAAATCTCCGTTAACGAGTTACCGCGGATCGCCCCGTGCGTGGGGCTGGACGGCGTCAACACGTTAACGAACTAACTGCGCTAACGCAGTAGTTCCCACCAATGTAATTGAGCATTGCGTGGCACATCCGACATACTGATCAGAGCCTCTACTTCACTCATCATCCAAGGTTTTCGCTTAGGAAAAACCCAAATGGTTTTAGTCACTGTCACATTCTCTGCACAGCACTTAATGTAGAAAAGGACAGAGTGAATGAAGGTCTCCAGGTCCTGCTGTTTCGAAGATGGACCAGTCTGTCAGATCAAAACAGTCCTGTAGCTGGAGGAGAGCATCATCAGACCATGTTTAATGACTCAGCTGCTTGGAAGGGTTTGTTTCCTGAGGGGCTGTATGCAGGGATAGAAAGCAGAATGAGGTGGTCTGATTGTCCCAGGTGGGGGAGGGGTGTCGCTTTGTAGGCATGCTGGATGTAGCTGTATACGTGGTTCAGTGCCCTGTCCCCCCTGGTAGGATACATAACATGATGGAGGAATTTGGGGAGTACAGATTTCAAAAATGCTTTATTAAAATCTGCAGCAACAATTTGGACACCCTGCGGGTGCTGTCTCTGCGTTTTACTGATAAGAAGTTGAGTGCTAAGCTAACATTAGCGCTGGGGGGAATGTAAACAATGGCAACTATGGCTACCGTTAACTCCCAAGATAGATAGAAGTTTCTGCACTGAATGGACCTGGTGTCTAAGTCCGGTGAGCAGTGACTTTCTATAATTTTGCTGCTAGACCTGGATCAGGTCTGAATTGGGCTCTGTGCTTATGTGCTTCAGGACTGGTGCTATAACTATATGCTTTACCATAAAGGAAAGTTTAAGCCTAATCTTAAAAGTAGAGGTAACAATACAAAGTCCTCAGTGCATTGCAGGAGGACGCAGTGAAAAGGCATAAAAAAGACAAAAACCCCAAAAGGTGCACAGTAGTTGGGTGCGCTGTGCTGCTGAATATGTCCGTACACACTGCCATCTTGTTGGGGTTTTTTTGCAACTTTTCAAGTGTAAGTCAATGGCATTTCAATACATTTTCCCAGTCAACTATAAATTCACCTAATTTCAATATAATTTCCCAGTCAGCCATAGATGAATGACTTTGAGAGGGCTCCAATGGAACAGTTGATAATAGTTTTCATTTCCCGGTCAACTATGAATCCATTACTTTTCAATGCCTTTGTTGTCGCCTGGTCAACAATAATCATTCAGTTATAACACGACAACTTTGAATCAATGTTATTCCACTGTCATTGCTGTTACACTGCCATGTGTCATCTGTTTTAATATGGATTTTAGCATATTTTGGCCATAATGATGATTCAGATGAAAAATCAACATTAATTCAATCTCATCTTGCTCTCTGGGAAAGATGAAAACCAGCCCCGAAAGACTTCAAACGATCACCACGGTGATTGTACTGTAGAAACGGAGGCTGCAGTCTGTCTGTTCATCCATTTGTTATGTGCTGAAGTTCAGGGTCTGGCGGCTGGGCTTGGGTTGACAAACACTCAGCTTTTACATTACTCCCATTTCTTGGCTAGCTTAGCGTTAGCATGCTGTCTGTGGAGATGCTTGCTAGGAGTTCTATTGCATAATGCAGATGCTTTTTGCACTACACTCACGCACTCTCCTCCTTTGGTGCAATAAAAATTCATGAATAAATGATCAATTAAATGTTAAATACAAATGTTCTTAAACTGAGCATTAGGTAGAAATATCCCTGCAACACTGGCCTCCATCAAAAGTATTCAAACAATGAAAAAACGTTAAATCAAATGGCCCAGACATGTTGGAGCTACTTTGAAGTTTTTGGCTCTGTGACAAGGAAAAGCGGACTTTTCACCGTGACTGAAAGCTGGATAACAGTACTTTCTGACGTCACCGCCATTCTTCATAATAGTGACGGTGAAGTCCGGTGACGCACAACAGGTTCTGATCACTGCGCTTAACAGGCTGCTTACCGAAACTTCACTCAAGTAATCATAGTACTGCTAAGGCGTTACTTAGCAACACTATTCACACTGGTATATAGGAGCGTACGGATCGGAGACCGTGCGAAACAAACAGCTCCAGAAGCTGAGTGCGCAGACAGCGCTGGAGATAGTGCTGTGACACGGGCTACGCGCTATGGACTACTGTTGATTTGTTGAGGAAGAAACAGCGCACACTCCAGCTCCTTCTGGTGCTCACACACCTGTTTCATTCACCTCGCTTTATTTCTGCTGATAACTGTTATCGTGATACATTGGGCATTAGAGTGCTTGTTGTTGTACAGTGAGAGAAAACCTGCAAGATCATGAAGTCTCTGCTTGTAGCAGTTTTAATGGTTCTCATCGCCGCCGCCCAAGTTTCCGGCGAAGAAAATGACCCAAAAGAGGACACTGATTACTGGACGAGCACTAATCAAATCCAGGTATTTATTCAGACTTATACTCTCTCCTTAATAATTCATAAATACTACTATTTAAGTAGCTCATCTTTTAGTCTCCTTCAGTGGATGAAAGCAGAATAAATTTATGTACCGCCTAACAGGCATAAGGAAATTAGTTTGACTTAAGTTTTTTTTTCTTGCTTTTTGTGAGAACAAAGACATCCCTTTACAGAAGTATGTTAAACCCCAGCGTCACACTGTAGGTTGCATATTTGTATTTTAAAAGATATTAAAATTACATGTATACACAAATTTACTGAACAGGTGTATATAGAGGCTTATATATTAGCTTAATCACACTTTAGGAGCGACTGTCGGCACTTTGTCATAATGGGCATCGTCACTCTGTGCGGGACATTAGTAGCGCAAAGATCCATATTGCCAGTCACAATGATGCATACTGCACGAATATAATCCTGAGATGGAAACAGAAAATGGCAAGAAAAGATCCAAATACATTCTGCTTTACTCGGTGTATTTTATGTGGGTGGACCGGTGGGTGGGTCTTTCAGCTAATATTGATTAAGATAAGGTTCTGGCAGAATTCCGCTTTATTCTCTTGTTATAAAGACATGAGCAGGTAGATATGGTATTAACACAGTTGAAGTATAGTTTGATGACGCAAAATTTTTATAATGATAAGATCCACTCTCACTCCACTCTGCCTCTCAGTGTAAGCATTCCTTCTCTCCCTCCACAGAATGGCTGGATTTCCAACAACCCGTTCAGAGAAGCCCTGCTGAGACTGACAAGAAAGCCAAAGCCACATCAGTTTATCGGTCTGATGGGGAGGCGCTCTATGGGTAAGAGCTATTTCTTAATAAAAGTACTTCTCCTATGCATCAGTTATGCTAACCTTTCATTTTTACTTTCATCCTCCCACAGCAAACACACAGATCACCCGCAAAAGTAAGTCCTGAAGTCCTTATAGCTAGAGCAATTTTCCTGCTCTTTAATTAAAACTCGGAACAAAAAGACCTAACCCCTTTGCCAATAGCTCGAGATATGTGGCCAATTATCTCAGAGCTTTGACTGGCGCAAGCTGGTTTGTACGCTGCTCATTTGTGCACAAATCAGCATACACAACGCAAAACTGAATTTTAACATAACAAAATAAAGCTCAGGTAAAAATAAAGCTAAATAAAAAATTACGATTTTAAAACAAATATAAATATCAGTATGTACAGTAGTGGAAATAGGCAAATATGAATATTATTGCCAAATAAAATTGATGAATAGCTACAACCATCTATTACAGTGATAATTTAACAAGAATTAAATAATCACTTTGAATTTACCACCATATCACTTGTGTGAATTATAAGTAATCCTGTTACAGTATCACTTTTAATTTAATAGAGAATAAATTACTAGTGATAATGTAATAATCCTCCCATGTGGTAAAATGAGACTGCTCTGTGGTGTCCAATCAGAGACGTATACATCAGGTGGGATGTATTACTCATAATGGTGAGGGATTTCTTCAGCATTCTCCTCTTAGACACCTCTACCTGAGTCTTCAAGTTTTACTCCCAGAATCAGTCTTGATTAAGATTAATTTGTTCAGTTTGTTGACATTAGCAGCTTTCATCCTGCCGAACACTCCTGCATAGAACACCACACTTGCCACCACAGAGTGATGGCAAGTGACGTAAACAGCAAAGCCTTACAAATGTAACGTCCTGAGCCTTTTAGTAGATACAGGTCGCACAGATTCTGCTTCGTGTCTCATCCATGAAATAAACCCTTTTAAATGGATGGAAGGGCATTAAAAAGCATTCAGGACATTAACCCATAAAAGCCCAGATAAATTTTTACTGCCAGGAAAACTATGGGAGAGTCAGTGTTTAAGCTTTAACAGGAACTTTCCTCAGTGTGTGAAGGGACGAGGCTCTTTAATATCAGACACACAAGCAAAGGCAAGTGTGCAAGGGTCAGATGGACTTGTGTGTTTTTCTCTAATAATGTGCATTTTGACTGAGACTAAAGGCAAAAGAAAATACATTGAGTTTATAAATGTACGGAGACAGTGGGTGGAGAGGTGTACACAGCTGTGACAGCTCTACAGATATCAGCTCGCTCCACAAAAGTGGAAGGTCTTTGTTCCACAAACAGAGCATGGAGCAGAAAAAGCACAAATTCCACTTGCCCACCGTGTTTGTGTCTGTGGGCAAGAAATGCACACTTTCCCAGGGTTTAATTAACATACACCCACCAAAGATTTTTTTTTCCTAATGTTCTTTGAACTCATTAATTAGTGAGTAAAGAAGGTGGTCCAGGGGAGACGCCTGTGTGAGACAAAGAGGGAAAAGATAAAGAGCCATGAGGAGGAGGGGATTTTCTCTTTCCTCTGTCATGGTTTGCGTTTCATCTGAATTAGTCACCTACTCAGTGATGCACTCAGTGCAGCGTAAGTAAGCAGACAGCTAATTTATCCCTGTAATGCAGGACCTGCTGTAAAACAATCATGTGGCCGTTCAGTTGAACTGTTCATGTTTCAACAGAAAGTCTTTAATACTAACAGAAAGAAACAATTCATTGTTTTGTCGATGGCTCAAGAGACATTACAGTTTTCTTGTTGTAGTTGGATGAATGAGACATTCAGTGTTGTCTTATCTCAATGTCTTTCCTATGAAGGACATAAAGTGAACTCCTTCGTTGGACTGATGGGGAAGAGGAGCCAAGAGGAGCCAGGTCAGTTCACTTAACGAGGTTTCATTTTCTGAAAAACAAACTGAATCCTTAAGATGGCATTTTCCCCTTTTTCAGCAGAGTCTTATAACTGGAACACAATAGAGATGTATGACAAGCGCCGCTAAACAGCTGTCACCTCTCTGCTTCTCATCAAATATTCTTCAGCCACGGCACGGGGACCGGATGTTGGTTTTGTTTTTCTCCATACCGCATATAGCTGTTAGCTCATTTAAAAGATGGCATTTTTCATACTGTAGTGAAATAGCAGTTCTGTATTTGTGTCAGTTTGATCTGTTTCGGTAGAAGAAAGAGTGGAGTTTGAGGAAGTGTCATTATAAATGTTAATTTCCACCACCTGCCAGTTTTCTGAACAGTGTGCTGATAGTTTCACTTCATTGTGCCTCATAACTGATTGTTTTTTGCTAATACAACAAAATAGCACAGGTGCTCATTTTGGCTTTCGAGTGACTTATAGAAGCTGCCTTGTTCTTCATCTGCATATGTTGTGATGTAATGTTAAAAATTGTATTAAAATTATTTTATCACTGGTTCAGTCTTAAGCTTGTACAGTGCAAATCAGTGCTCAGTTAATCTAGATGGATGGTGCTAGGGCAGACTCTGATGGTAAACAGTGGTACTGCATGAAATATAAATGAAGTAAACAGTTTCTGTTGCAACAGGAAATTTTATTTTAGCGTCAATTAATGTAAAACACAGAAAAATAGAGACAGATAAAAGATTAGTTAAGAGAGAAATACAAATGCAATACTGCCTAGTGCAAACATGATTCAATAAACTAAGGTTGGATACAATTTCCTTGCTGTAGCATATGGTTATTAAATTACATTAGACTGCAGATATTAGTGATCTCTTCCTGTAATCCACTTTCAAATGTGACCATGGGTGGGACAGTTATATGAAATGTCTAACTCCTAGTTCCCAAACTGTTTGAATAGTCATTCATAGTCATAGTCAAGCATGAAAAAAATGATTAGATCTTTTACGCATGTCTCACTTCTGCCAAACATGAAAAATATCCTTTTACAAAACACTTGCATAATATGCTAGTTAGCGCCAACAATGCTGCAGTTCTAGCTTGGTGATTAAGAGCCAAACAAACTGAAACCAAACCAAACCAATTCAAACTACCAGAATCAACCAAAGCTGTCAAAAGCTGGGAGGTAGCAGCATGATAACACTACTTACTGACCTCAGTCAGTTATAGTGTAAACATGATACCACCCTTACACCCTGTAGCTCAGGAGGTCGAGCAGGTCATCTACTAATCAGAAGGTTGGCGGTTTGATCCTCCAGTATGCACGCCAAAGATCCAATTCCATCCGTCCATTTTCTTCTACTGGGATGCAGGGGCAGCAGCCTAAGCAGAGAAACCCAGACCTCTCTTTTGGAGAACAATAAAGCGGTCCCAGGCCAGGAAAGATATATCATCTCTCCAGCGTGTCCGGGGTCCCACCAAGGAGGCATTCTAGTCGGATCCACGAACCACCAGAACTGGCTGCTTTCGACGTGGTGGAGTAGCGGCTCTAGTTTGACAGTTTGATGCACAACAGTGGCATATAAACACCAGGCAAGTGAAAACAGGAAAGTGAGGAAGTGCTCAATGAAGGTCCACTAGCAGTTGGAGCTTATAGCAGGGTAACTAAGAGATGGTTCAGGTTCACCTGATCCATCTCCAGCTAGTCAGTATCAGAAAGGAAAATCTGAAAGTTTGAAGCCTAATCTTAAAAGCAGAAGAGCTTTGTCTTTGTTCTCTCAGCTCAGCGGAAGAAATTTTAACTGTAATTACACCCTCAAACACACAAATCATTGGTCTTTCTCAGGTTTATAGATGGACAAGGTACGGGCTGATGGATCGATGGCATCAATCCAGCGCGGCATCCAGTAATGGGAGAGCCACTGAGCACGGTCTGGGTAGCGCTTCTCAAACTCCTGTCTATAGTAGTAGGCCTCTTTAGTGCGTGGGGGATTGTGAGGGAACCTCTTGTAAGCTTCCTCCATGTCATCATCGTTCACCTAAAAAAAACAACAACAAAAAACAAAACAGACGGGTCACTCGCAAACTTTGTTCAATCAATCAAAGCATCAACATCAACTAACGAGCAATGTCATAATACAGAGCTAAGAGGAACACCTACAATTTACTGAACCTCTCTCTGCGGTTTAATTAAAGATTTTAACGCTGTCGTGATTAGTGTATTTGATCAATTTTCTGTGGATTCTTGGCCGGTTCTAATTTAAATTTACTTTAAATGCAAAATTTTAAGTTAAAGTAAATCTTTTATTCTGTCAAAGTGGTGCCATTGCACTGAGCTTGGAATTCTGATTTTTAGTAAGTGCACCTGTGTTATGAATTTGAAAATTTCCTACGCTGCCTTGTTCTTGCGTTATTGCATTCACAAACCTGGGTGTCTGCACCAGCTGAAATCTGCCTGAAATCAGTCGAGATTTACTAGATTGTGAGAAGGCCGAAATCAATGTTAACATAAAAACTTTACTGTGAATGGGACCGAGTCAGAGGTTTCTCTACCAAATATTACCATTGACTCCAGATGCTCCTGCAGGTACGTGTACCAGGACTTCTTCACAGATGTCAGGCCATCACTAAAGGCTTCTTTACGCCTCCAGAGAATCTCATCAGGTATCAAGTCGAGACCTTTGAAGGACTCCCTCAGAAGGTGCTTCTCCACTCCATCCTGGTTTCACAGGACACAATACACTATTATTACAAAGCAAAGTTGCATGATAGTGTGGACACCAATATTGTACAGACTCACCCTAGGAACCCTCATTTCCTCAGGCAAGGAGAGGTAGTACGCTGTGAATCTGTGGTCCAGGAAAGGCACTCTCAGCTCCAGGCTGAAAGAGAGCGACACGAAATGAGCCTGAACTGAAATAGTCCATTGCAAAATCAATTTCTATCAAATTGTGTGAGTACAGGACAGGGTTACTAATAGGTCTATGCTATTAATCAGAACTCTGTCATTAATTTTTATTACTATATTTGAATAATAGTCAGCGTCACCCTATTGGTTGGTTGCATTATTTGGTGACCACTATTGGTTAATCACTGACATTTTGGCAATGGTTAAAATGAATGCATTAGTTATTTTACCACCAAAGCTCTCCAGCTGAATTCCCGCTGTCCACTTTACCCTCCATCCTTTCCCCCCCCTTTTTATGGTCAAATTAAAGATGCTTCATGAGCACTACATGCTCTGAAAAGCTGTTGCACAAACAATTACAGCCAATTCCGAACGAAGTAATTGTAATTACAGGACATTTTTTCAGCAGAAAATTATCGCCAACAACAGGCAAAGTGCAATGTTCCCTTTTTATTTTTTGCTAGATTCTTTCAGTTACCGGTCTTAATTCTTCGGGCAGGGCTAGTGAGTAACAAAGAAGGGCTACCCATGTGCAGCAGTGGTCCGATCAGCACGGAGAACATCAAACATGTAGAGCTCCTCCATCAGACGAATGCTGTCCTCTGCTGCAGCTTTGGGTGTTGGAGCCTAGAGGAGAAATAAAGCCATGTTTAAATGAATCCTTTTCGATTGGCATTCTAACTTTAGGTTCAGTCTGAAGTTTTCCTTCAGACGTTGTAATATTTCTGGATCACAAGTCTGACAATTCTGGCTAACAAAAGTGCTTCGTATATTTTGTCTGTAATTATCATTTAAAATCATTTTTATTTAAAGCAATGAAACTTCAAAAGAAAAAAACAAATGCAATGAACTTAGATTTGCTCTACTTTGTAAGGTTGTCCAGATTTTTTGAGAAGTATAATCATCCCAAAGCATAAAGATTTCTGTATTCAGATCAGTTTAAAAAAAAGAAGTCTTTCTTCTGCACAAGTTTGAGAAGCCACATGCAAGTCAGAACAGGAATTCCAGAGAAGTGATCCAAGCATGTCAAAAGTATTCATTCACCCATCCAAATCAATGAATTCAGGTGCTCCAGTCACTATAAAATCAAGCACCTAGGCATGCAGACTGCTTCTAGAAATATTTGTGAAAGAATTGGTCGCACTCAGGAGCTCCATAGTGGTACCATAATAAGATTCCAACTGTGCAACATAGGGATGGGTATTGATAAGATTTTCACGATTCAGATTCCATTTTCGATTCTGTTTAACGATTCGATTCTCTTATCGATTCTTTTTTTTTTTTTTTTTAAAAAGGAGAACACTAAGGTCGATTAGCTTAGAACTTTGTTTTATATCTTCTCTTTGAACAAGATAGAAATTTAGGAGTAACATGGCCTTACAAACCCAACAGTGAGATCTTAAGAGATCCAGCCTACGGCTCTTCAATGGGGTGTCACAGGATCCCCAGGAAAAAAAATGTAAATGTAAAATAATAAAATAAATATTCTTCTGTAGCAATAACAAAGTATAACATAAATTGTTCTGTGGCAATTACACAAGAATATCCAGTAATGTCCCTGCCTACAATTAAACACATTCACTTACGGAAAATCGGGGGCATCTGCTGTGGCAGCCTTTTACCACAAACTGAGTCACTGCTCAGTGACATTCGTCTATCCTGGCCTGAAAGGAGACGCTAACGGTAGACTGCAGCGAGAGCTGCCAGCATCTGAGCCAGACTCTGTCTCATCATGATCACCTAAATGCACAGTAATGGCAGGTTTTGTAATAAGGCAGATCGCGCTAACATAATATGCACTGTTGTTGATTATTTACCTGCCGCATTAACGGGAGAGGACGTGCAAACGTTATCGCTGCTGCTGGGTTGAGATTCACGAGTCCGGAGCGGAATTAAAAACACAACATTCATTTGAGGTTATCGTGTGTTTTTTTTGAGCAAATGCTTTTGCATATTCGTAGTGTTTCCTCCCGTAAATGAAATATCTACTTTGCAAGTATTGCAAGTTGCCCTGTTGTCATCCGTTCTCATAAAGTACAGTGGGGCAAAAAAGTATTTAGTCAGCCACCGATTGTGCAAGTTCCCCCAC